AAAGGGATTATGGAGTAACCACATCCTATGGAAAGTGCTCCTTTCTCTTTCTCTACTCCCTCCCTCACTCTTATGTACACATGTTCTATCATGAATAAAGAAAGTAGAACTCAAAACAAAAGACAACCGTGTCTTCTGTTCTAACCTGCCAGTTCCTTGACTCCCTCTTTTCCAATGACCTCTTGCATTTTTATTTCTTTTCCTGTTTCCATATATTCTCTACCACTTAGACCAGATCCATGTTTGTGTTAATATTTTCAGATGACTGTAGCCAGATCTCTTGACAAGTTATTCTTACTAATTTATCAATTTTTTTCAGTGATTTCTTGTCATATTTTCCTTTTAATTCAGCATAGATACTATCACTTAACATGTCTGTGATTGTTTGGACGCATATTTTCTAGTTTTTTTTTTTTTTTTTAAAGACAGGGTTTTGCTGTCTTTCTATCCTTCTGCCTCAATCCCCCAACTGGGACTGTAGGTGCATGCCACTGTACTGACTCTTTTTAAGACTGAATCTTGCTTTGTTGCCCAGGCAGTCCCAAGCTCATCATCCTCCTGCCTAAGTCTCCTGAGTTGCTAGGATTACAAGTGCATATCATGGGAACCAGCAGATGGTGTAATGGTTATGTCACTGGGCTCCCACACACCCAAGAGCTTAAAACTCATGTTGGGCGGATATGCGTGTGTGTCCAGGATCCCAAGAGGAGAATGGAAGAGAAGGGATTGTGGCATGACCATCCCCCTGGGGGGTGATTTCTTGCTTTCTGTCTCTCTAGCAAACATGCACACATCCTATAGGAAAAATCTCTCTCTGAAAAAAAACACAAGTACATACCATCACACCTGACTTTTAGGTTGGACTGGTTGTTGAACCAGAGCCTGCCAGGCTGCTCTGGTCCCAGCCTGCAGAGCACAGTATCTTAACAGTGCGTTTCACATAAATTGAACTGTATTCTGTACTCTCTTTGTAAGATGACTTTTCCCTCTTCCCTTTTGGGTAGTCTATGTTTGGTGAATTGAAGAGTTTTTCGAGGGTTGTTATTAAAGTTTTAAGTTGTTATATTTTAATGTATTGTCTTTAGCATATTGGAATTGTGTTAATTTTTTTCTGCAATTAGTTGTATAACTGAATTCTTTTAACTTGTTAATTCATTTCAGACCGCTTCCTGATGAACCTAAACATTTAAAATGTGAGTTAAAAGGAGGAAAAACAGTACAGATGGGCCAAGAACTTCAAGGAGAAATAGGTTAGTATGGCCTGTTTTCCTTATAACACTTGTATGATATTTCCTTATACTTATTATACTTATATTCCTTATATTTACTATATCTGATTAACATTTGTATCATATCATATATATCATTTAAATGTATTTATGTAGATTCTAGATTTTTTTGTGGTAGTTATAAAAGAAATTAATATAATCATTTTATATCGAAATTACTTATGTAGGAGTATACAGTAAGCATGTTGTAGATATTGATATTTAAATCTTTTGTTAAAAAGGTAACACTTAAATTTTTTTCCTTTTTTTAGTTATAATAGTTACAGATCAATATGGAAATCAGATTCAAGCATTTTCCCCAAGTTCTTTATCTGCTTTGTCAGTCACTGGGCCTGGGCTTGATAGCTCAAATTTGAAAACTACTTTTCAGGTATGGTTACTTTCTTTAACAGTTGGTTTATACCACTTTTAAAAAAATACCACTGCTTTATATATAACAAAAGCAGTTTTATCTTTGAGATTTCAAGTAAAACTAGAACAGCTTTTAACATAACTTACATCGTGTCTACAAAGGATTTTTGTTGTTTCGTTATTAACTGTATAATCTTAAGATAGATTTTACATATTTTGAACTTTTATACATTTTACTAATATCTAGTCTTACTTGGTTTTCTAAATATTGAAAAAATTTCCCATGCTCTTTGTGATTTTAAGAGAAATCAATTTTGATTATTTTTTACAGTGTCTTTTTTTGTAAAGTGTTCTACAAATAATTGTTTCAAGACAAAGTGTTATCTCTGATTTTAAAACTTTGATGAAGTAGATGTATACTTAGAAATTTAAAGTGATTAAATCATTAATTATTATTAAAATGTGAATGCTATAGTGCTCATGCCAATGTGGAATCAGTTTATATCATTCTGTCATCAACTAGTTCTATTGATTGCCATTAATAGGATATGTTGGACATCATCCTAAGTAACAGACTGGGCAGTGACAGAGCAAAGCCCCTACCCCTGTGGAGATCATCTTGTCATGGGAGAGCATGTACTAGATAAGTGATAAGAAAAATAGAGAAAGGGATAGTGTTGCACTATATAGGATGGTTATGGAAGGTCCTTGTTATTAAGGTATCGTATGTAAAAAAAAAAGAACTGGTAAAAAAATGTAGAAAACATAGGGGAAAAAACAAGTTCAAAGGATATCAGACAGGTGCTGGCTTGGCTATTTGGGTAAAGAGAAAAGAGGCATAGTGAGGAGGAGGAGGGAAATTTGGAAAAGATAAGGGAAAAAGACATAGCCAGCACCTCTTAGATTGTGCCTCCCACCCCCTCTCCGAAAAGGAAAAATTGTTTCTCCTCTTGAGAAAATAGAATTTATGTCATGCTGCTATTGGCAAGGGTATAATTTATTTGCCATTATTTACCAGAAATGCATCAGTATGCACATAGGTTAATGGCCCTTATTTTTATTTTTCTGAAAACTAAGCAATTATCTCCTTTTCTCAATGTTATTTTTCTCGGTAGGAAAACACACACAGTATAAGTGTAAGAGGGATCAAATTTATTCCAGGTCCTCCTGGAAATAAGGATCTTTGTTTTACTTGGCGTGAGTTTTCTGACTTTATTCGAGTGCAGCTAATTTCTGGACCTCCAGCCAGACTTCTCCTTATAGACTGGCCTGACCTAAAGGAGGTAAGGAATATCCTGTCTTGGTTGAAAATTTAATAACACATAACTTATAACTTTCAGATTTTCAGTGGATCAAAATAGATATATTTTGTTATTAAAAAAAAAGCAACAATACTAGCAACGAAAGAGCAAGTAGTGTAAGTCTTAATGCTTTATTTAATCTATCATTGTGTCCTAGATTATTAAAAAAGAATGAAATAACTAAAATCTTAAAAACTTAATTATATTTCTTTTCAAACATACATAAAAGTAAAAAGAATGGTACAATGAACACTCATGTCCCAATTGTCCAGTTTTGGAAGTTACTAATTTTTACCAGTTTAATTTCATTCTTGTCTCACATTAACTTAAAACCTTTTTTGTTAGAATGTTTTAAAGCACGTGCAAGATATCATGTTATTACAACCTTAAATACTTCAGTGTACCTTCCTGTGCAAGTACTTAAATCTTATATACTAATTTTGCAAATATCTGATAAATCTTACCCTTGCAGATTTTATTCTAATAATAATTTTTTTTTTTCAGAGGTTTTTGCTATAGGACATGTGTGCTCACCAGAAAGACAGAGACAGAGACAGAAAGTGAGAAATCACCTCCTGGGGGGATGGGGATGGCCTTGCCGTAATCCCTTCTCCTGCATTCTCCTCTCAGGATCTTGGGCACGCACTTAGACCTGTTCAATGTGAGTTTAAGTCACCAGGTCTGGGACTCGAACCACAGTCAACTACATGGGAGTTCAGCAACATAGCAATTATACCAACTGCTGGTCCCTTAATATTTCTTTCTTTTTTTTTTTCTAATAATAATGTTTAATACTTTTTAAACTGACAGATAAAAATCCTATACATTTGTTGTATACACGTTGTTTTAAAATATGTGTATTGTGGGATGACTAATTTGAGCTAATAAACATATACATTCTGGTGTGTGTGTGTGTGTGGTAGTGGTGATTGACACTTAAAAAATCTACTTTTCAGGAATACTGTATACTGTTATGAACATAAGTCAACTAAATATATAATAGATCCCTTAAACGTATTCTTCCTGTCTAGCTAAAATTTTGTCAGAATTCTAATTGAAAAATGTTTAGGTGCTGAGGGCCAGCAGGTGGCGTGGTGGTTAAGGTGCTGAACTCCCACATGACTGAAAATGGTTCAAGTCCCAGACCTGGACAGCTTGAAAGTCATGCTAGGTGCATGTGTGTGTGTGCGCCAAAGATCCTGAGAGGAGAATGGAGGAAAAGATATTAGATTACAACATAGCCACCACCTACCCTCCTACCCCTGGGGGTGATTTCATATTTCTCCTTTCTCTGTCCCTCTCTGGTGAGTACATGCACCCTCGGGCCCCCCCAAAAAAGTTCAGGTGTTTAGTTATGAAATAACAGAATTTTAAGTGTTGATATAGCTTACTTTTTTTTTTAAATAAAGAAAAATGAACTCATAATTACAGTAGTACGTGAAACTGTTTTAGTATAGGAGCAAGTCATCCTAGGAAAGTTTATGTACTTGTGTGCTAGTTTTAGATTCATGAGTTAAAAAACATAAACTGGTCATGACAGTGTAGCCATTTTTTAAAATAACTTTTTTTTTTTTTGAGAGGTTTTTTGCTATAGGGCGCGTGCGCTCGCCAGACAGACAGAGAGAGACATAGAGACAGAAAGCGAGAAATCACCCCCCGGGGCGATGGTCACGCTGCAGTCACTTCTCCATTCTCCTCTCGGGATCTTGGGCACGCACGCACACGCACCCAGTGTGAGTTTTAAGCCACCAGGTCCAGGACACAAACCACAGTCGACTACGTGGGAGTCCAGCAACATAGTCATTACGCTAACTGCTGGTTCCCTATTTATTATTTTTTTAATTTGACCAGAGAGAGCAAGAAAAGAGAGAAAGTAAGAAAGGAAGCTGCCGGGTCCGGTACTCAAACCACAGTTGGCCATGTGGCAATCCAGCGCCCTTAACCACTATGCCACCTGCTGGCCCAAGATCGTTTTTTTTGTTTTGTTCTGTTTTGGTTTTGTTTTTGTTTTTTAATAGCAGTGTGTGTGATGACTGACAGGTTTTATTTTTATTTTGTTCCATGTGTCTGAAGCATGAACCCTGTGTCAGGCATGGGCTAGGACAAACAAGGGGTTGCTTTGCTTTTGTCCCTGGCTGATAAGAGATGGGCACCATTAGCCAGATGCTATTGTACCCAGACTAGCGATGTGACTGATAGGTTTCACTGAAAAGCCAGTACTTCTATTTTTAATTTTTTAGTTTGTTTTAGGGTGCATACTCTCGCCAGGGGAAAGAGAGTGAGAAAGCATCCCCCAGAGAGATTGACCATGCAGCAATCCTTTGTTTTCGTATTTTTTTTTTTTAAGAGAGATTTTTGCTATAGGTGCATGCACTTGCCAGAAAAACCTAGAGAAATAGGGGAAAAGTGAGAAATCACCCCTGGGGGTATGGCCATACTATAATCCCTTCTCCATTCTCTTGGGATTGTGGGCACACACCCACACACGCCTGGCATAAGTTTCAAGCTGCTGAGTCTGTAACTTGAACTGCAATTGGCCGTGTGGGAGTCCAGTGCCTTAATCCCTATGCCACCTGCTGGCCCTTGTATGAATTTTTTAAAGATAAATATAAAAATTTATGTGAAATTCTAACTCAAAAATTTATAGAATTTATTTATTTGTAGAATTTATTTGCAGATACCATGATAATTTGGAAACTTTAAAATAAAACCTGTAATTAATTGTCAGCCTGTTACAGATATGGCTATTTGTAGACACACAGGGAATATTAGATTTTCCTGGGATCTTTCTAATTTAATTCTCTTTTTTGGTTCTTTTTTTTTTTTTTTCTTTTTTTTTTTTTTTTTAATTTTTTTTTTAAAATTTTTACCCCCCCCCGGATTCATGCACTCACCTGAGAAAGAGAGAGAGAGAAGGATGGCCACACCATAATCCTTTCTCCTCCATTCTCCTTATAGGATTTTAGGCACGCCTGCACATATGTTTGGTATGTTTTCCAAGCCACTGTGTCCAGGACTCAAATTACTTAGCTGACCATGTAGAATTCAGCTGCCTTAACCACAATGTCACCTGCTGGCCCCAAATCCCAGATTTTATTCTTGGCACACTTCTTCCCCATAGGAGCTAAATATGATAAATAGAAAAATATACATACTCAACACCACACACACATAGTTATTTTATAAACAAGAAAATAAAAATTCTGAAATGTTGACCATGCTAGTATTAAAAAATGACAAAGGGAAGATTCGTATTTGTGAAGATTTGATTTTAGGTTAAAATCACCATCCATTCCCAAGGCATAAAAGAAGAACTCTGCCCTTTTTGCACAAATTGGTCCCGATATGGGATTCCCTTTTTCTCTTTGCTGGTTGAACCACTCCAGCATTGCTCTGTCCAGTTCCTCATACATGGATGGCTTCATGGACTTCCTCTTGGCCAGAAGGCTTGTGGAATCAGAGCTGCTTGCAAGCTTAAATGAAAATGGTACATGTTAGAAGACATGAAACAAGGAAAAACTCTAAAACTCAAGTGCCTGAGCAGAAATCTCGAGTCGATTGGAGGCGGACTAAAAGAAATAGTATCTCACAGTTATTTGATAGTGATGATGAGCTAGAAAGTGATGAAGAGCTTGATAGTGATGAAAGTGTTGATGATGAAGAGCTTGATAGTAACAAGGGGCTTGATGGTGATAAAACACCAGAAAATGAAAGAGAGCTTAAATTAATAAAGTTGAAAGCGAAGGAAAAAACTATAAGCATCTAATTAACACTAGAAATAGTTTAATAAATGAAGAAGAAATGAACAAAACTAAGCATGAAAGTACTCACTTAGCAGATTATGAAAAGCATCCAAACCAAGAGGACAATGATCTCAAACATACTGGACAAGCAATAGAGGAGGATTTAGAAGAACACATCATGAGAGGGAAAAGAAAAAGGATCTCTTCTGTAATGTATGACAGTGATGAGAGTGATGACAGTGATATCCTAATTAGAAAAGTAGGTGTTAAACGTCCTCAAAGAGTAGTTGAGGATGAATGTTCTTCAGTGGAAATGGAACAAAACAACCCTGAGAAAACAGTGGCTGCACGAAAGCGAGAACAACTCCAGAAGCTGAAAGAACTCTCAAAACAAAGATCTCATCAGAGACGCAATAGTGGTAGAGATTTTGAGGATGATGAAAAGGAATCATGCCCAAGTAGTGATGAAGATGATGATGAAGAGGAGGAGGATTATGAATATGATGAAGATGGAGATGATTATATTATTGATGATTTTGTAGTACAAGATGAAGAGAGTGATGAAAATAAAAACCAACGGAGAGAACAATTGACTACATCACAACTGAAATTAGTAAAACAGAATTCTCTTTATTCTTTTAGTGACCACTATACTCACTTTGAAAGAGTTGTGAAGGCCCTTCTAATCAATGCCTTAGATGAATCTTTTCTGGGAACATTGTATGATGGCACCAGGCAAAAATCATACGCACAAGACATGTTGACGTCTCTTCATTATTTGGATAACCGCTTTGTTCAGCCTCGTCTAGAGAGTTTAGCTTCTAGAAGTCGTTGGAAAGAGCAGTATAAGGAGCGGGTAGAAAATTATTCTAATGTAAGTATCCGTTGGAAGACTCCTGAAAACTGTTCCTGCCAGGCTTGTGGATTGCATGGCTACTGTAGATTTTCAGTGCATTTATCAGGAAAGTTGTATAACACCAGGACCATGGAAACAGATGATTTCATGTCACATGATAAACAGGTGTTTACTGTTGGCAGAATTTGTGCTAATCGTACCAGAATTTATCATAAATTGAAACATTTTAAATTCAAACTGTACCAGGAATGTTGCTTCATTGCAAAGACAGAAGAAGTTGAAGATGAACAGGTTAAAGAAACAGTGGAAAGAATTTTCAGTCAGTCAAAAGAAAATGGGTGGATTAAGCAGAAATATGGTCAACTTGAAGAATATCTCAATTTTGCGGATTACTTTCAAGATGAGAAGTTTGAATTGTAACACATTTCCTTCAGAGAAGACTTTATAAATTCCTGTAAATGTGAAGATCATGAGTATTGTTCCTCTGCATCATGTGACATATTTATATATTTTACTTATATCTTTATGGCAAAACATCTTGTTTTTAACAAATGTTTATCTTAATTCCCATCAAATGGTACCCAACAGTCTAATAAAGCTTTTACCTGATGTACATAGAAAAAAAAAAAAAAAAGATTTGATTTTAGAAATTTTACTTTTTCCACTGTTTCCCAGAAAACTTTATTATTAACAGCTTGGGCTACAAGTTATTTACTGAAAGATATCCATTAAAAATAGCAGCCCTTAAAGAAAGTTAGGAAGTCCTGTCAAAGTAGTTGGAATAGACAATTATGTGGTTAGGGAATAAAGTTCTATGTGTTTACATGTGGAAACAGTACTTTTTTTTTTTTTTTTAAAGAGAGATTTTTGCTATAGGGTAGTGCCTTCTTACCAGAGAAAAAGACAAAGTGAGAAATCACCCTCAAGGGAAGATGGTTGCCACAATCCCTTCTCCTCCATTCTCCTCTTGGGATTTTAGGCACACATGCACATGCATCTGACATGAGTTTCAAGCCACCAGGTGCAGGACTCTTAACCCTGGTCGACTACGTGGGAGTCCAGCTATGCAACCATAATGTCATCTGCTGTTCCCAAGTCAGTACTTCTTAAAATTCAGGCATTTATAAACTTTAGCAGATAGAAGGTGGTCAACTGCAGCTATATAATCATGGAAGACAGGCATAATGAAGCCAGTCTCATGTATTTCTGTTTTTTTGGGTTTTTTTAGCTTTGTTTTGTTTTGTTTTGAGAGGTTTTTGCTATAGGACACATGTGCTCGCCAGAAAGACAGAGAGAGACAGACAGAAAGCAAGAAATCACCCCCCAGGGGGGATGGCCACGTTGTAGTCCCTTCTCCACCATTCTCTTCTTGGTGTCTTGGGCACGCACACACGCCCGGCGTGAGTTTAAGCCATTGGGTCCCGGACTCGAACTGCAGTCAACTACATGGGAGTCTAGCAACATAGCCATTACGCCAAATGCTGGTCCATCATGTGTCCCTGTTTTTAAGGGACCTTTCTTTTCTCTTTCCAGCAACCTCCCAACTTAATTTGGTAAGCAACTACCCAGATAAGATGGGATCTGGAGGAAACAAAAGGAACATTACCAGTAGGAGAGAACTGATAAATCAGCTTTCCTTTTTCACTTTGCTTCCATATTCTTTATTTAAGAGGGCCATTTGCAGCAATATAATTGACTTTCAGAAGTTTATTTTCTTCTTTAAAGGAGCCATTTGTGAATAAAATAGATGAATTAAGTGATCGTTTCACAAGTGTGCTAGTAATTATATTGTTTGCCACATACGTTTTAGTGCTTATTAAAATATTTGTATCTATTTCAGTCCATTCCAGTGATTAATGGAAGAGAATTACAGAATCCTCTTACCATTCAGCTTTGTGATCAGTGGGATAATCCAGCACCGGTACCACATGTTAAAATAAATATTATAAAAGCTAGCAATTTAAAGGTAGGTTTTAAACTTTCTTAAATAATTTTCATTTACTTAAATTAAAATTCTGAATTTTATTCTCATGATAATATCCTTAGGTGTCATGTTTATTTTGAGGAAGTAAAAGTTCATATCTTACAAACAGTTTAACAAGGTACATTATAGTTATAGTTATTGAATGTTTATTATATATTGAGTCATCGAAAAAGTCATGACATATTTTCCTATGGAAAAATGCATCATGACTTTTCCAATGGCCCAGTAGTATTAGTGATTGCATTTCCAATTAGGACGAATAGATAATTAACACCGTCAAGGTAAATAAAGACTATATACCGCAGTGATCTATGGTGCAAGTTAAGGAACAGCTGTTATGGGGGGAAACATGTTAGCTGAAACTAAGCAAAGAGTCATGCAGGTACCTGTGCTCTGCTTATCTGGTGAAGAGCTATCAGACACCATGCAGAGCTTCTGGACTGTACTTTGTATTCTAGGGTGAGACTCATCTCTTTCATTATTATTTTTTTTTTAATGGGACAAGTATGATTATGGCCTTGTGAAATTTGGTGACAAACAGTGCTTGGCTACCAGAAAGTTCAAAAATAGGTATCATCTGTTTTCTTGAATATTAGGACAGCCAACTTCTCAGGATCTAGTGGAGAGTATGGATGTCACATGTGAAGTTGAGAGTCTCTCCTGCTAGAGCAAAAAAGAGATGATGCTAGTCCTTGCAAAATGTGTTTTTTATAAAAACTTTTCTGTGGATATATTTAGACTAATTAAGTTCATTGGCAGAACAATTGAAGGGGGGGGGCATGGAGGGCAGCCATGGATGCCAGGGACAATGGGGGAGGAGGATGGGACATAGCAGAGGGGGGGGGATGAGGAATCAGGGATGGCAAAACAAAAGGCAAGGGATGCAGGACATAAGAATTTGAAAATTATTTTGCTGAGAACATGTATGTTGATGTGCTTGATTGAGCCAATGCACAGTGTATTTTGGATGGAAAATTCATTTGTGTGTTGTGATGGTGTATAGTGAATTAATGTAGAAAATGAATAAATTAAAAAAAAAAAACAAAAAAAACTTTTCTGTTGGTTGAAGGGTTTTCATTGGTCCTAGCCAGGTGTTGGTAGGCAGCCCAGAGAGAGTTCCTGGGGTTATATTCAGAGTCTTGGATGTCCCTCAGTCATTCCATAAGAAAATATTCCTCAATAATCAATACTTTAGAAAAGCTGATATTATATATAAAGATGACAGTCCTCTTCAAATTGGTTCAGTCAGAATCCCAACAAGGATTTCCCAAGACCTGATAAATTGATCTTTTTTTTGTTTTTTTTTTTTTCATTTTAAACTAGAAGTTTATTTAAACAACAAGATGCTTGACTTGAAGGAAAAACTATCTAGGATTCCTTTTTTTCTTTAAGAGTAATTTACCCCTACTTAAAAACAGATTGCCCTACATGTAACAGCTACGTACAAAAAAGTTATAAAATTGTCCTTGGTTTTACAATGATAAATGAAAAACATTAAAATTCTCCAATCAAACAAGATATGCAAGGGGTTTTATGTTGTTAGTTTTTTTTTCTTTTTCTTTTTGTTAAAACAATGAGAGTAAAATAATTTATTGGAATATAGATAAGAGCTGAATGAGCTGCCACTAATGGAGAAAGGGGGTATTTTTAAAGAACCAGTATTTTTCCCCATCCCATCTCCATTTGATGTCAATTAAAACATACCATTGGCCATTTAGTTAAAAAAAAAAAAAAGCAATATGCTTGTGCACATACACCAGTTACTTTATGTATGATAAAGGAATGGGGAAGGGAAAATGAAAGAATAGAGAAAACTACTGTGGTAGTCAGGATGTGGTGAAACCAAATTGTGGTTTTCTAATTGAGAATGTATTCTTGGTCTGTAAGAACAGGTCTGGAGTAAAGTAGCAGGTTCCCTTTTCAATTATCTTTATTTATTTATTATTATTCATTTGACCAGAAAGAGAGAGAGAGAGAGAGGAGAGTAAGAAAGCAAGCCTCCAGGTCTAGGACTCTGCTTGTGGTTGGACATATGGGAGTCCAGCAACTTAACCACCATGCCAACTGCCGGCGCCAGGTTCCCTTTTTAGTAGACACCCCCTGTCTGCTGTTGGAACACATCAATTGTATCTTCATCCTCCATTTCCAACTGTTTGACAAACCCTGTCGTTCACAATAGACTTTCATTCGTTTACTAAGTGGTGTATGCCTCTTAATCTTAAACTGCACCACAGAACCATCCTGTCCTGCCACCTTCAAATTAATGTGATCGTGTTCTCAGTCTTGACTCCTTCCTTGGGCTTTTCATCAGCCATGGCAAGCGCTGGAGTCTCCTCAGCTGCTGCTTCACAAAAGAGGTACCAGGTCCTCACCGAACAAGCACGCCCCTGATGAATTGATCTTAAAAGTCATCTAGGAAGTTCAAGTGCCAAGAATGGCTTGTTATATATGGACCTCTTTTTATAGTGAAGTAATCAGTCAGGGTTCTTCAGACTGTCAAATAAGACTATGGTATTGTTGCTATACAATCAAGATTTCTCTTAACTCCCAAGGGTTTGGGACCTGGCTAGGAGAAATACTTTTGAGAAAGATAGGTTGAGAGACTACGGATCAGAGGTTGAATAGGACCCTCTATAAATTCGGACTTTCTCATTTCAGTTATTTCTTCTAATTTTTTCTCTTCATCTATTGCTTCTTTCTGCAAATTACCTACTCTTTTGGTTCCATTAAGTAGAGATGGGTGTTATGCTTAGGAGAGTCATTATTTTTAGCTGCTAGGACCTACAAATTTACTTTTGTTCTGAATGTTTCTTTCCTAGAGAGTTAAAACACTGATTATTTTCAACCTCAAAATAAGGCAGTGATTGTAGTTTCTAGGAAAGTATCTGTAAATGAGAAGGAGACTCTCCTTCCAATTATTTGGAAATGTGGCAGTTGATTCATAATCACTTCAGAGGGAAACCTTGGTGTTATCATTGTAAAGGTAAAATTGCAGGAAAATATGAGAAGCACATTTGAGTAAATATTCAAGACAAAGATGAAATAAGAATGAAAATAATACCATGATGTCTTGGTGTGCGTGCTTGCGTGCTGGTTAAGCATCACTTAACCTGAAATGCGTAGGACCAGAAGTATTTGGGATTTCAGATTTTGAAATCTTTGTATATATATACTGAGATATCTTGGGATGGGACCCAAATCTAAAAATGAAGTTCATTTTATGTTTCATATACACCTTATACTTACAGCTTGAAGATAATTTTATACACTATTTTTATATTGCAGCATTTTCATTGAAATTTGTCATATGAAGTCACATGTAAAATTTTCCATTTCTGGCATCATGTCAGTTCCCCAAAAGTCTTTAACTTTGTAGGATTTCAGATTTTTGTATTAGGGATGCTCAACCTGAATATATGTAGTTCTTCAACTCTGTCCTTTATTCTTACTGTAGCTTTGGGATATACTTCATGGTTTGTGTTACCAAACTTTACTTGATAAATCTGTGATATCAAATCAGTAAACACAATTCTGCAGTTTAATAACTAGAACATATTCTAGTTTAATTGATTAAGATGAGTGATTATTGGGTTGGCCTTGTAAAACAGTAGTTAGGCACTGTGCAGAGGAAGGCAGCTTCCATATGACCAACCAGG